CAACCTAATAAGTCTTTGAAAGCCTAAAAGTACCGTTTTCATTGGAAAACTGACTTGATTATTTGATTTGAAGGAATTCAAGTGGTTTCTTTGGAAATTTTATATGTTTCAATGTCTTAGGTTCACAAAACATGATTTGCACTTGCCTTATCTAATTTGCATATATAAATTTCTGCAATTAAAGGTAGGTTCTATCTATAGTAAAAACAAAACAGTAAACAAAACCAGGCACTTCCCAGTAAGATGATCCTGTATGAGTTCCTGCACAGTTGTCTGCAGTGTCCCCCCATAGACACTGATTGAAATGATTTAAAGAAAAGCAAAAATTTGAATTTTGCTACTAATGTTGAAAATAGGAAATTGTCAGTCACGTATCACTAATTTGTCTATTAAGTTAAAATTTGCACTAAACTTCTGGGAGCTGATAAACCACACCACTCTCCTCAAGAGAGCCGTGTAGTGCTATGGGAAATACAAGTGGAGAAAATTCTAGGAGAACTCACCAATAACCCTATATTAGGGTGGATGATGGAGACAGACTGCAAGGGAGGGCTGTGGGAAGGTCACGTACAACTCCTTTCTGCTTAGAAAAGCCAGCGGCGTTCTGTGGTCTTCTATCCTAACAGGACTGGTTGAGGGCTTTACCACACATAGCCTTTTTCACTGACTGGGCTTCCTAGTTGGAGCATGGACTTGGCCTGATGGCATGGAGAGAATCCTTTTAATAGGGAAGGATAGGGTTAGAAACAAAGGACGGATGTAAAAGATATGGGAAATGACCTATTTGGAGCCCTTTCATAGCTGTGGGCTTTGGACAAAGAGCAGCAGAAGCATCTGGGTCTGAAAGAAAATACTTGTGACTTTATCAGCAGTCCATGTGTCCCAAGAATCTTTTCAAAAGCATGGCCAGTTCACTTCCAAGTAGGGAAGCTTTTTGGAATTAGGAGTGGGAGTATTTCTCCACTGGTACTGGTTGCTCTCTGGACTTGGTGAAGCTGGTTTCAAAGAGTACCAAGAAAATGCACATAGGAACAGAGACTGCCTTCAGGTCCATATTCTTCGCTGCTAGAAGACTGAACCTCTGTGCCATCAATCCTCCTGCTTGCTTTTAAAAACTGTTTATTTTTTTAAAAGTTTTAAATGAAGTTACAAGGATAGTACAAATAACTTCTCTGTACATTTCACCTATTTTGAAAATTTTGCCTCTGTCATCTCTACCAATAGATGTTTCTCTTTTTTTAAACTTAATTGGGGAACAGTGTGTTTTTCCAGAACCCATCAGCTCCAAGTCAAATTGTTTTCAATCTAGTTGTGGAGGGCACAGCTCACTGGCCCATGTGGGAATCGAACCGGCAATCTAGGTGTTAAGAGTCTGCACTCTAACCATCTGAGCTAACTGGCCACCCAGATATTTATTTGTTTTCAGAACCATTTGAGAGTAAATTACAGAAATCATGTCTTTTTTACCCCTAAATAATTTAATGTTTATTTCCTATGAACAAGGAATTCTCTTACATTATTACAGTACAGTAAGTCCTTAGCCAACGTTGTCGGCTTTAAACAGTTTTACCATAGGCTAATTGATATAAACAAGAGTTAAAGTCCTACAGAATATTTCTGTATATCAATTAGCCTATGGTAAAATTGGTTTCAATGTTTTGCTTAAGGTCGCAGTTTCCAAGAACCTATCGATGACGTCAAGTGAGGATTTGCTGTACAAGTGTCAAATTTAGGAAATTTAACATTGGGACAGTATTGTCTACTCTATAGTCTAGATTCTATTATTTTTTCCAGTAGTGTTCTTTAGAGCATTTATTTTTTATGGTCCAGGATTTTGCTTTGCATTTAGTTGTCCTGCAACTCCTAAAGCCTTTGTCTTTCATGACCTTGACATTGTTTAAAAGTACAAGCCTTTTATTGAGCACATTGTTCCTCAATTTGAATGTGCGTGCTGTTTCCTTGAGATTAGATTCAGATTATGCATTTGGGCAGCAATAGCACATAAATGAGGGGTGTGCTCTGCGCATCACATCAGAAGACGGATGATGTCTGTTCCCTTATTACTTTGATTGCTTGATTAAGATGACATCTGCCAGATTTCTCCATAGTAAATTAGCATTTTCCCTTTGTAACTTAATAAGTATTTTGTAGGGAGATACTTTGAGATGATATACATATCCTGTTCCTTATCAGACTTTCACCTGCTAGTTTTATTATCCATTTTTGATTCTTGCCTGAATCAGTTATTGCTGTGGTAGTTGCAAAATGGTGATTTCCAACATTCACCATTCCTTCTACATTTATTATTTGGCGTACATAAGAAACACATTTCCCTCATCTGTTAATTTTTATTTAATATTGATATGGATTCTTATTTTATTCAATAGGTTATAATCTGTTACCATCAGTATTTGTTTTGGAACTTAGATGGTCCTGAATTTGGTCAGTGGGAGCCTCTCAAGTACCTTCCTGTGCCCTTTTGACAAGTCTTGTCTTATTTATTTATTTTTTTTAAATAACATTTTCTTAGTTGACACAAAATGCTCTAAGTTCATCTTAAAGTTATTTCTCCGAAGAGTTCTAATTCCTTTCAGGGCGGATGATGTTTAGAAACCACTGTGTCGGCACTGTGTAAGAGTTAAGGAGAGGATTTTCACTTGCTCACGTCAAGAGGGAAGAGCTCAGAGGACGGTTCACTCGTGCTAATTTAGGACACAGTTGGCTTGGCATAATCAGCCGTTAGCCACACTATCTGGACCTGGCAGTTCACATTGTTTTAATTTCTGTAGCCTTATAGTGTTTTGATCTTAGAGCAAGTTCCCCTTATTTCTAGATATTTTTGGCTCTTTAAAAACATTCTCTCTTCTAGATGAATTTTAGAATCAAATGTCAACAGTCAAATCCCCCCAAAATTTCATTGTTATTTTGAAAGGTATTGAATTGAACTTATTATTTAGGATAGGGCAGAGTTCATCTTTTTTGCAAAATTGATCTTCCCTCTTAGGATTAGGAGATGACTTTATTTATTCTTCCATTATAGGCTACAGTAAAGGGCTTATAGTTTTCATCACATAAATCCTGTGTGTCTCTTGTTATAATTGTTAGTTTTTGTTATACAGTTGACCTTTGAACAACATGGGTTTGAACTGTGCGAGTCCACTGATATGCAAATTTTTTTCAATAAATGCAGTAAATGTATTTTCCTTATGCTTTTCTTAATAACATTTTCTTTTCTGTAGCTTATTGTAAGACTACAGTACATAACATATATAAAACACAAAATGTGTGCTAATCTACCGTTTATGTTATCAGTAAGGCTTCCTGTCAGTAGTGGGCTACTAGTGTTGGCCTCCACATCTGTGGATTCCCAACCACGGATCGAAAATACTGTTTAAGTTTTTGGGCAAAGTTATATGTAGAGTTTCCACTGTATGTGTGTGTGTGTGTGTGTGTGTGTGTGTGTGTGTGTGTGTGTGTGTGTGTGTGTGNTGTGTGTGTGTGTGTGTGTGTGTGTGTGTGTGTGTGTGTGTGTGTGAGTGTGTGGGATCAGTACCCCTAACCTCCATGTTCAAGGATAAACGGTAATTGCTTATAATTTTGTATTTGTGAATCGTATCTTTTAATGATTATTTTGTTATGAATTGGCACATATGGAAAAGTGCCTAAACCACGAATGTATAGTAATGAATTTAACCACTGCCAAGGTCAATTAATAGAAACTTGCTGGCACCTTGAAGCTCCATGTATGCCCTTTTCTAATCACAACCCCCTCTACTCCTTCCTTCCCTCCTAAAGTCAGCAAATTAAGGGAAATACAACTGCTTACATGGCTTTTATTATTCAATATAGGGAAGCATGACAGTTAAGAGACTTGATTTCCTTGCCACAGAAGTCTCAAGAGGTATTTACTGTGTGGGCCTTTATGTAAGGGACAAGGAACAGTATAATTGACTTTTCTTAAGACTGGTTTTATGAAACATGCAGATTTATTTTTCATATGTCTGTTTCTTGTTGAGTCTATGCTAGCATAAAGCAGAGCTTATAATGTTAAAGTTAAAAAAGTCTTTCTAAGGTGTGTTTAATTTAGATGTCAAAATAGTAGCCTTGGATTATCTTACTTGATAAAGAAGCTGAAAACCATTGTTCTTGTTTCTCTGAGTTTAATGAGGTTGTGGAGATTGCTCATATCACTGCCATAGCCTCAGCTGCCTTTTGACACTGCTTACCAAGACAAATGAATGGTTTTTCTTCTTCTACCGTCTCTTAGGTTTTGGTATCCAGTTCTGTCCTTCAGCCTTTTCTCACTATGCACTTTGTCTCTGAGCTGTCTCATACTGTTGTTTCAATATCCACATTTATCCTCATAAAATCTACTTTTATTTCCCAGACCAGGTTTTCCTGACCTGTGATTCTGCCAAATTAAAATGAATGACTTTTAACTAGGGTCATCTTACATCTACCCAGTTGAGTTTTTAGGGGTCAGAAATTTGACTTAAGTCTGGGCTAGTGAAATCTTTGCAGAATAGGAAGTACAGAGGAAACATTTAACCTATGGAAATTAATGATTATGCTATAAAAGAGGTTATATTCATTATGTTATTAGATATAATCAGTTTCCATGTCTCATCTCTATCTTCTTCATACATATGTGGTCTTTAAAGTTGTACCTTTTAAGAAATGATGTTAGTATTATGCTTGAAGTGTTAATTCTAAAAACTTTCGTCTTTTTCTCCCTATCTTTAAATTTCTGAAGTGCTAAGGAAAAAGTGCTCACATTCTTAAAGATATTAAGAATGAGCTTAGTGGTAGCTTTGTTATATACTCACCAGGGCTCTTTTATTTTTAGTTGTGTATCAATAAGTACATAAATGAATATCGGTTTCTGGAAAATGTGACTTTAAAATTTCTAATCTTACAGCTCTGTTTTGATTATGCTGTTTGCGTTTTTCTTTTTTTTTTTTTTTAAGAAATACACTAATAACTTTTGTGTTTTCTTCTAGAAAAACTTATTGCTTATCAACGAGAATTTCTTGCTTTGAAAGAACGTCTTCGAATAGCTGAACATAGAATCTCACAGCGGTCTTCTGAATTAAGTGCCATCGTACAGCAATTCAGGCGTGTAGGAGCAGAAACAAAAGGAAATAAGGACACACTGAATCAATTTTCAGGTACAAATGGTATTTTTGGTTTTATAAAAATATTATATTTTTCAAAGGGGTATGTTAAATATTTTATTTGAAAGTTGTATAGAGTAGCTTATCAGCTAGCATTTGCTACCCTTCTCAGAAAAATCACACAAAACTTTCTATTATGGTAAATTACAAAACAATTTTTATTAATTGCAAAATTTGATTTTAAGAGAATAATAATGAGTTAAATTTCAGTTGTATAAATTCCATTGGTAATAATGTTTTTATGTTTTTAAAATCATTTTCAAAATGAGATTAAAATTTAACTGTGTTTATACTTGTTTATGTTGTGACTTGTGTGAACCTCACATGGACTTTGGAGAATCTTTGAGCTAATTGAAACAATTAGTGTTCTTATATCTGACTTATAAGGAAAAAAATACAAAGTTTTATAAAGGGTATTTTGGGGGATATTTAGCCTGTTCTGTGTCTGAGAACTGGTCAGAGTAACATGAGTGCCAAACATCTTCTCTCTGTTTCTGTGCTGTTCTTATTCTGATAATTAAATCCATACATGCATATAATCAGTTGCCTTCAAATTTACATAATCTTTTAAGATTAATATACTTTTTATTTAGGATCATCTGTTCTAAATTTTGCTGTTAATTCCGCTTGTCTTAAGATACACTACCTTACCGTATTATTAAAGTTTCATGCTCCTTATTTCCCCTCCTAATTATGAAATTTGTATTATGGAACAATAACATTTAAAATTATGGAACAATATAGATAATAAAAATAAATCACCCATAAGCCTCCTGCCAAGTGATTTCTGTTAACACTTTTTGTTTCTATTTTCCATGAATATTTTCCTTCAAAATTGTGATTGTGTGTTGTAGCCTGATTTTTTACTCTTGGAATTCTATTAGCATTTACTACATCATTGCATATTCTTTTAAAGTACCATTTTTAATGGCCGTATAAGTTGTCAGCTAATTATATACTGTAATCTATTAAACAATTTTCCACGATTAGGCAAATAGGATTTTCCTGGTTGTTTTCTTACCCCAGTTTATAGCTCTGTGATGAACATCTTTGCATATATATCAATCACATTTCTGGTATCCCTGAAGTAATTTTCATTAGATTATGACTTTCTTCAAACAGGACCTATGTTTTGATGACTACTGATTTCCAAACACATGGCACAGTGCTTGGAACAAAATAGATAATCACTAAATAGTTATTGAATGCATAAAATTTAATTCCTAAAAGAGAAATTATTGAATAACAGGACAAAATGTTGTAGGGTTTTTTATGCTGTTCTGAATAGCTGAAATATTTATCATATTATCACCAAAATTTAATATTATTATTGAATTTGGTTGCAAATGCGTCTTTTTCCTTTTTAATGGATACTTCATTCACCAAAGTATGAAATTAGGAAAGAAAATTCTTTAGTTCTGGTTTTCATAAATTTTACTGCTATATATGTAAAAGCTGCAACTTATATAAGTAAAGTTTTCCTGTGGATTAATTATACTTATATGTTTCAGATAACACCCTAAAGCTATTAAAGGAGTTAACAAGCAAAAAATCTCTTCAAGTGCCAAGTATTTATTATCATTTGCCTCATTTATTGCAAAATGAAGGAAGCCTTCAACCTGCTGTGCAGATTGGTAATGGAAGAACAGGAGGTATGTTTATTTTATTATTGTGGCTGTACTGCTGGTCTTAATTGTATCTTAGAGTATTACATTGACCGTTAGAAGTCTGGCAGGTCAAAGAATAAAAATTTTTTTTCTGTGCATAGTAACTTAGGATTCATTCAAAAGTCCACATTGAAAGGTGTTGGACATTTTTCTCCGTATACCAGAGTAATAGAGCTGAAAAGGATCATGAGAAATCTAGTTCAAGCCCCATCTCCAGGAAGAAAACTGTTTAAACTTTTATCATTTTTTTTTTT